TTGCTAAATGAAGAAAAAATGAGGCATACATCAAAGACCAAGTTGTTTTCTTCGTGAGAACTGTCCTTTACTGTTCGCAACTTGACTAAATAATTAATTCCTTACACGTTTTATGGTGTGTTTGTCTTAAATACGGCAAATCGCGCGGCTAAACAGAAAATGTATTGGCTTGCAGAGGCATTTACATTTTTAAACCCAGTTTTGTTTCCATTTTGTCTTAACTCGGTTACATTTCTCAAATGCACATAGCTCATTTGCTTGCAGGCATTTCGACCAATGCTATAAAATGCTTGAAATGAAGCCTGTACATTCACTTGCCAGAAAAGCTTTAAAACTTGAATTGTGTCGTTCTTACAGCACAAGGCTGTCCGTTTGCTTAGTTGCATCAAATCTCACGACACGCTGATTGTCCACACAGAAATTCAAGAACTTACGTGTCTTTGCATTGGTAATAGCTTTACATCGGAGGCCATTAAACGAACCCAACATAAATCTGACCACGTGAGCGGCTATTTTCAGGCCAAATCCGCTGAACAGGGCAACTTCAGGAAGTACGATAGCAACAACAAGTGCCTCGCCGAAGGGAGATGTCACGGTTAATTGACAATCAGACAAATGGCCAATTATTTTAACGGTCTTTAAACACATTTGGGCTGAGATAATTGCGAAGAAGGCTTAAGTGATGCGTTTCTTGACTTTAAAAAAACTCAGAAAATAAGATTTCCATCAAAATTAGTAAATCAATTATCTCTTGTGGGGTCCACATAGACTGCCCCAGCCAATGTTTTCGGCCAGTTTGCCTGGCTAATATTCGTGATCAAGTACAATATTTCAACCTTATAATTTTTGTTAGTCAAAAATGCAAAAACACAGCTCGTATGTAAACCAGATAAATTGTTAAAGGACCGTTATTGGAACAGTCTCAATTTAAGTTATCATCCGAGTTAATTACACTTCTTTTGGTTTGGACCGTGAAATTGAAATCCGAATCACAATTAATAAAAATTGTATTGTTTTCAATTAATCAGGGTATTGATTTAGGGCGAAATATTTTAGTGCGAGAACAGACACCAAAAATTGCACCATGAGCTTGGATCCAGAAAGGTAGGTTGCTGTGAATCTCAAAAATGTGTAATTTCAGGTTTGATACATCAATGCGCACAGGTGTTTGCGAAGGAAGAGGTGTGAGTTAGCTGAAACACGCTTGTAGCAGGAATTCAACTGACAGATAAATGCGGACGATGTTCTGACTGCATTTAAATAAAATGCAAATCCGACTATAGAAACGATTACCACGCATTCGGTCCATTGGTGATTATGACCAATTAAGCAGCAAATTAACAAAATGCGAGCCTGATTTATTCCATTGAGATTCACTGACACACAGCTTTAATCACGTCTCAAAGTTGCAGGTGTTCCAGCGTCATTGAGACCGGTCAGGTAACTGCTACTTTGAAGTTGAGTAAGTGGCATTTGATTTTTCACATTTATCTAATCAAGCGACCTCATGACTAGGAAGAAACTAGTGGTATTTTGCGAATCGCGTTGATTCTCACTCGACAATCCGGTCTCTCCAGCCTCCGACACGATGTCCGCCTTTTCACAGCGCGAACGATTATCTTAGATTATCCTCACACCTAGGTGTCGATGTTAGCACATCTATGACTCACACATCTTAGGTTTAAATACACACACGCAAAACCCACCTACGACACAACGACGCCAACGTGGTTGAGCTCTGTAGTAAACGTTCTCCCCGTTCTTCGTCATCGCCGGTAGTAGGGAAGCTAAATTGGGCCAGATCCAACTAAGTGGCCCCTACGTGATTCAAGACCACATGCTGGGGCCCACAGCAGATATGGCAATGACTAAATAACTCTCTTCGAATGTAATTGAGAGAGTTATTTGTGGCCAGAGCGCAACACCAAATAAAGGTGCGTTAAACTCGTTCTAGAGCATCCAACAACTGCTCCTGTCACTTCTCAGTCGGTTATCTTAAATTTAGCCCAATCAACGAGATAGTTGGAGGAGGTGGGGCTTGTTAATTATGTTGGGCATCTATATTTAGACTAATAGATGACAGCTGTAGGAATGCTGCTAACATCAAACGCTAAGACCTAAAAATGAATTTGATTAAGCCGTCTTATTGTGGAGATCTCCCAACGTCAAAGAAAATGCGAGAACTAACTAACCTTCATTATATTAGAGAAAGCCGTGTAAAAGGCTAATAAGCATATGAACAATCGGTAGACAGGGGCATTTTCTGCACGATAAGCCAGCTCGAATCGCACACTTCAACTATACCATGGAAACCTTGGTACATTATTCAAAATAAAAAAAATTCTAACACCATTTTGCTTTTTACACACCTTTCGATATTGACTCATTCGAGTTTGTCCATTACCGCGTTGTTCTTAGGTGCATGTCGAAATTTTCGCGCTAGAAAAACAGCTGTTTTTAGAAACAGAATGAAGAGCCCTCACAGTATTAAGGCACTTAGAAAAATGCCTTTTGTTTATCACTCTACAACTCCAAACACCGAGGTAAAGCCCTAAAGAATTGAATGAGGTCATACCACATCGCAGGCATCTTTTAAGCAGATGAGTAACTGGATGAAAGTTGGCTAGTCTATGCTCTGAAGAGTGCTGGCGAAGTTTTACTTAGTTATCTAACTGCGAAAGCCCCTCCGAATAACTCCACAACCCCCTCATTTGTTAACATATGATGCAGGCCATAGATTAATCCCTGGCCACCTCCTTTTCGGCTGTTGTAGAAATTGTCAGATGGAATTAGTGAAATCTGTGAGTTTGTTTAGCTTTTAGTCATGGAGTTACACTAGTCAATTCAGCTCACTCAAGAAAACCACGAAAGAATACTTGGCCACAAGTGTGAACCTTACAATTATGGCCGTTCGCCTACTCACAAAACACAGGGCACAGCCGTAAACTTGGAGAAACAGACATTAATGACTCAATGGTCAATGTAGAGTTGTGTTTTTGTGGGCGGTACGTTAACATGGGATAGCCAGTTGCACGAGGCCGGTTTGGTAACACGCAGTTTAATCTCGCTAACGTGAGCAGTCATCAACTCTGGGTTGTCGTGAGGAAAATAGCAAAAGACGGACTTCAAATTCACGACTCACTGCTTGACGTACCAGATTTCTTCACAAAAAACTGAGAGCAACGATAACCTTTCAGAAAAGGTAGTAAGTTATACGTGTCATCAAATTAACGTTCCTCCTACATTGGGCACCTCATCGTGAAGGAGTTCGGTAACTTATAAGGCAGATAATTATTGCCAAACGAAAGGTGAAACTACGTAACTCTATGTGGAACCAGTGAGTTCAAAATTACTCTCATTTTACAAATTTCAATTGAATGTTTTGTTAAATCCTTGGGAAGCAATCAATGGTTCTGTTCTACTTGCAAACCTTTCAAATATATTTTGCTCCTTCTTTTTCAATCCCAAAAGCCTAGTTTAGAGATGAAACATCGGCCACCTGCTAACTCAGGGATAACTACCCTAATTTTAAAATTAATCAAATGTCCACTCTGCTTTTAAACAATTCTCACCCTTAACTTTGGGCAAATTTTAAGTCCCCAGCAAACCCGTTATGCCCATGTGAGAGACAAAAACGGTTATCAACCCAACTGGTTTTTCTTTTTCATTTTTATTTCTATGCAGTGAATTTCACCAGTTAGAATGTGCTGAGAAGGTGACAAATGAAGTTAGGAGTTGTCATGCCTATGAAGTCCAATTAAATCAAACCTTGTTGGCTATTTTAAGCCAAGACGCACTGACACTGTAAACAGCACTTGTTTACCTAGCTTTGATTCCCTCGCTTGGACGAGCACACTGAAGTCGATTGCTTGTTACGCACACATATTTTCCTACACGGTAAACACCACACATTAACGATAAAATAAAACGAAAATAAAACGAAAAATAGGCTCTCAAGAGGAAGATAATGTAGCTGTGACACACGACGCTTTACCCAATGACGCCTAATGAACAGATCAGATTGGCACGACTGAGAGGAGTATAAATGGAACAACTAACCGGAGGTTATAGACCTCCAAACTTGTCATACTACAATGTCAACTCGCCTTCTTAAATGACACTCTTCTCCATGTAATGTAAGGAAAACAGACGAAAAACTGGCGTTTCATTGGCTGCTTTGAATTTCCTTTTTTTTTAAAAAATCATATCCTGTTTATATAACGTGGTTTTGTTATAGTGGTTCAACTGAGTGTTAGAACAAGTTTTGAAATTACTTAGTTGAATTGTCGTCCTAATGTCTCACTGGTTTGTCGATATGCGAAAAAATGCTTTCTGTGTAGATCGAAAATGCACTTAAATAGTGAGACGTGTTGTTCGCCCGGCACAATTATTGTTTGGTAAGCAAGCCATTAACGTGCCTGTAACAAGTGTAGCGTCGTAACTCCTTGTTTCACTATACTGACCTCCAAATCTTCAGTCTGTTTGTTGGGGTCTAAGCCGTTACTGTTATTTACAGTACCCATAGACAAATTTGTGTCATAGCTACAAGTTCATTCAGAATAAAGTAAAGCGACCAACTGCCGTCTCATGTTTTATGCAAATGAAACAAAACCTAATCATAAAATATCGTCATAATTTCCGTAATAATTAAAAAATGTTGACAGCTAATGACCATAAATGTTGATGGCTGGAAAGGTACTCAGAATTCGGTGCAGAGTGCGACTACGCAAACTTGTTGGCTATCAAATTCGTACAGTGACTAATAACAAATTACCTTAGTAAAACCAGAACTATAGTATTCAATATCTAAGGTGTAATTTCAAATTTCAGCAATTTTAAAAACAGACTTAGACAATGACCCGCAGCGCAAACCTTTTATAACTCAGTCTTGGAAATGCGTTTGTTAGGTATTAAAAAAAACTGAAATTCAATTTGCCAAAGCACAACTGTGTGTGGGAGCAGCATGAATTTGAAGACTACAATTGTCCAGTAAAGTGGTGTCAGCTGATTTTGCAGTTAGGGCCTTTTTTAGCATTGTCAGCAATGACCCTTGCGTTAGGTCCAGGGACGATGAGGTTAATTTCATGCTCACTACGAGAAATTGTGGATTCATTAGCTTCGTAGATTTGATCTCCCCGATGAAAATTTGGCTGACCGAAGACGCTGAGTTTTTTAATGCGCTCCCGCGGCGACTGAGACGCTCGTCCGCGGCGTCCGACGCCCAGTTGGAGGCAGGGGATCTGCGGAACAAGGGACTCACTACTATCCTCTGGTCTATTGGAGGGGTCTAGGTAGTAACCAACTTCTTGAACATAGTCAAGTGAGTAGGGACACTTTTCCGCGGCTGCCTCACACTCTCTTGTGATGCCTTTTGGACTAGGACTAAGAAATCGTCCAAACTTGCAGCGTGTGTCCGAATGAACTGACAACTTCCAGAAATTTTCCTTCTCAACGGAACTAAGCGAACTGTAGCTTCTTCCAGAGGTAGGACTGCATGTGGAATTGGAGTCGCGATATAATTCAGCCTTTTCAACCAGCGAGTTGTCGACCGAATGACTGCGCGATGCGGGTCGATTGAATTGATAATTGTTGACCTGCAGGTAGTTGCTATTGGGTGAGGGGACGAGTCGAGAGCCCATGCTGAATTTGCGATTCACCTCGTCCTTCGATCCGGAGAGCTTTCCTTTGGTGAGCATTTCGCTTTCAACACGACTGATTTTTCGTTGTCTCTCCGTTTGGCCATCGGGTTGGGCTGTTGGGAAGTTTTTCGAGGGACTGATGCTTGAACTGACTAGAAATGCGGTCTACAACACAGCGAAGAAGAATCTTAAGCACTTAAATTATATTTTAAATATCACAAATACGTCAATAAGTTTGCGAATGTTGGTATGTAACTCGATGATAGTTAACTTGATTCAAACAGTAACGCTGATATTAGTTTTGCATAACAAGTTGACATCAAAGGCAGCAGCAAACTTTTAACAGATGATATCGCGTTCTCTACAGAAAATATTTATTTGTTGACAGTTTTATCTTATGGAAATCAAGCCAGTATCAAAGGCAATGTGTTTTGTTGCACACTGAAAGCGTTAAAATAGTAACTAAGCCTTCTTAATGCGACTAAAAAAGTGATTTTTTTTCGTGGATGCTCAAGTAATAGCATTTGGTATCCCAAAAGTAATGCATGATTCCAAATATTTGAAGCCAATTACACTTTTTAGAATAAAAGGACCTGCATTAAAGGGGAAAGTTAATCTCTATGTTAATTAAACAAATTTTGCCAAATTAAATAAAAATGATAGGTAAATATTTCATCTTTCCTTACTAAATGACACGTGTTGGTCATGAGCATCTTTTTTTCCATAATTGGTAGACAATGCCGGTTTGCTTTGAGTTGATTGAATAAGTGCCTTTTGTGTTTCACCAAAATATGTCATTACCTGAGTTAGTGGCAATAAATTAGTTGGTGCTTTAAACATTACATTTACTGGAGCTCAATGCAGGACCTTAACGCAGGCAAATTTATACACACTGATTCATTGTCGGAAAAACGAATTTTGTATCGCAACGAAATCTACAGGTTAGTATTTGTCTTCAGTGAGATTGGAAAAAACAGACGGAGTCAAGAAAAAAGTGTGTATGGTAAAGATATTGTGTGAATCAGATTTAAGTGACTACATGAATAAGACTCGAGAGAAAAGTACTTATGTTCTACGCTTGGATTCTCAAAACCATTTGACACTTGATGCTTGACAAATACCAGGGAGATATATTACAATATTACACCAATAGCATTCGCAGTTATTGATTTTTAAACATTGAGGAATTGCAGTGCTTACGGTAGAAATTAATCAGAGACGCTAAGCGCAACGGAGACAAAGTAGCGTTTTGTTTGAGTGGAGTGAACATGCTTTGTAAGCCTGTTGTAAAATACAATAGCTTGCTAGTTTTTTTCTAATTTTTCCCCCTTTAATGGCTAAAAGATCAAGGACACGATTTGTGGCATCAGCATGTGATAATGCGTGCTTATTGCAACAGGTATTTTGATGTTAACCCTCACAGAGGCTACAAAGCCATTTAGAGTCAATTTTGAATGGCTTCGGCCCTCCGTGATGTCGGAAATAGATGCTTTTGGGACTCTCGTCAGCACCAAAGCCTCCAGAGATGTCTTCTTTAAAATTACCTCGAAAACCCAAATGTAGCTCAGGTATAAAGAAAATTGAAACACCATATTCGTAATTTGAAAAAAATTGCTGGTGTTTAAATTACTTCCTTAAAAAATACTATTAAGTAAAAGCATAGTTACAAATATCTTTCTGGGAGAACAATTCAATTTTAGTTTTGAGAAATCGGATAACTTAGTTTTTTAAACAACTGTGGTATTGGCTACCCAAAAGACCTCAAACTGGGCTTAGGGGCCTATTCATTGAATTGCCTTTGTCGTTTCGATCAGATTGCGAGCGGTAAGTTTTCGAGCTGAGAAATACAAATTACCTAAGCTTTCATAACACTTAGTACTCAGACTTTGTTGTTTGCTCATGGACTGCGTCTGGCGGCAGTGACTGCCCTTTGGTAAATCAACAATTTAACTTTATTCGTTGGATTTCACCGAGTGTCCTACCATAGCTCGATGTGCACAACTTAAGTAGGCATATCAATGCGTCGTTGTGACCTGTAATTACTATTTCCTTCACAATCCCACTATGCACATCATATGACTTATCTCACACCTACAACCAAGATGTCTCCTGCAAACAGCATATTTATATACGATCCATCACTTCAACAGTACTAAATTCACCTTAATGTCAGGAAATCAAGGTTCTGAATGTTGACATTGCCCTGGTTGCCTGTGCGTAGTGGAGCTAAGCATTCAGCGCACTTGTCTTACCTCGTATTTTGCCGCGGTGTCCAGACTCCCCTCATCTCTGATGTTCAACTCACATCTGGGGAACCCAAGCCAAGCTTTCCAAAGTACATCGGATTTGCTGTATTCGCAATCTATCCATTGATTTGCACACCAAAAATTGCTGTCAACGTGGTCGTATCATCGCTCCTACGTTCACAACTCCAAACATTATCCAGAAGTTTGTGCACTTTTAGGCAAGACGCTTTAGCACTAAATCGGGTCTGAGACAATCGTAAAGCGACGCAAAATTGTTTTCTTTGCAAAAAGTACACAGTCCGCGCAGTGCCTGAAAGCAAACTTATACCTCAGTCATTTATCTGGAGATGGAAAATATCCCCCGCATTTAGAAATAAAAGCAGTCAAACTCGAAGTTTTTTGAGTACAGGGCCGTGATTAATAAAGACCAGTTCTGGTTCCAAATGCTTTAAAATTTACTAGGTTAACCTTATGCCGAAATTCAGCTGTCGTCGCGAGCGACGCGTCAAATTGTAGGTTAATTCACCCCTCACGGCTGCCTACGCAATCGAAAGAAATTTAGTTGCGCTTCAAAAAGAGAGTGCATTTGGTCTGTTTGATTGACAAAAAAATATTGTACACAGTGAAAATAGTTATTCTTTTCAAAATTCTTTACTTAACACCACAAAATAGAATAGAGTAACTTGGCTTGCACTCGTAATGGCACTTTAATGAGCATTCCCAAAATCGGAGTTGGACTTTTTCGTTTTATTTGGTTACAGTTTGGCTTCACACAAACCAATAAAATCGTGAATTCTTTTTTTCAAAATTTTTGACTTGTGAGTAATATTTTTGCGAAATCTATAGAGCGGATTTGAATAAGAAATCCAATTTAAAAGCAACACCTCCACTGCGTACTACCTCAAACGCGGAACCAACAGTGATGCGTTAATTAGTATCTCACTGAACACCTTATATTTCGATCCGATCGAAGAGGTTTTGGGGGAAATGGAGTTTAATTTTGACTTGGCTAGTCATGCCCTATATTGCAAAATAAGAAAGCGGTTCTAACGGCAGACCTTGAAAAAAAACACTCGCTTTTTTAAGCAGCCTGTCTAGTCAAAAGTATCAGCATTCCTTTGATTTTGTAGGCTTTTCGGCGTTCAGTTCGCCTGCAGACTGCAAAATAAATCATAAATTTAATGACTTAAAGGTTTTAAATCGCTGATATGATCTATTATCGTGATGTCCGGTTGTAAATTTGGAAAACTCAATAAACGAAAAATCAGAAAGCGAACAAGGACGGAAACGAATAAAGCAGATGCCTTCGTTTTGTGACAGTAATCCAGTTAAGCAATTGTCCTTTATCCTGCTAACAGACGATTAAATTGCTAGATCATGTTTATGAAAAAAATTACATCTGATTGAATTAACAACGCCCTTGGTGTAAATTTAGTGCTTTTATCGTCACTGTGCATGGTTTATTCTGGACGGCAATAGAAAGCGGATGGACGGAACCTTCTGCATTACGTACCGGGTGCTCAGACTCGTTTCTCCAGGGCCAGCTGATTTTCTTGCTGACCGTTTCCGCTTCCCACTGCCTGCGTAGCGACGAGTCCTCGTCCAAGCACCCGCCGGCAATGTTGGCCTGACTGACTTGGGTCGGTGACCAGCTGGCAAGGAGCATGGGCCAAAGCACGGAGTGGAAGAGCTCGAGGACGTTTCGTCCGAGAAAGGCACTGGTTTCGATAAGGGGACAGCCGAGTTGGTCGACTAGGGCCCTGGCCTTGCCTTGCATCTCGTTAAGCAAAGGGTCACACTTCGGTAGGGTAGTTTGTGTGTGTTCTGTGTCGTTGATTTTGCTTTCCCGTGAGACAGGGTCATCGGTAGCGTGAAAAACCGGAATCGACAATAAGTCTGTCTTGTTGCCAACACAAATTACGCTTTTGGGATCAAACTTTTCGCCTGAAAAATACAACCATAAAAGTAATCTGATTAACTGGGCTGTCTGGGTAGCTGTGAAAATTCTGGCGGCGCAGAAAAAAGTACATTTGACATGTGGAGGTAAAGTGTTAAATGTTTTTAATGAATAAATTAATGAACTAATTGATCCCGCTCCTAGAGTGGCTTGCCGGTGCTACTGTTAACTTCAAAAAAGGTGGACGCCGAATGCATTTTTTACCTAAAAAGTTGTTAGATTCTCCCTTATTATAGGAAACCCCGCAGAGAAATACCATCAGCTAATTTTCTCTCTCATTGCTCTCTCTAATGAAGTTTAGTTTCGTGAAGTACCTATCTCTGGTTGGTTTCATACCAATAATTGTTTCAAAAACCATTCAAGGCTTTGAATCACTGTCCCAAGGCAGTTAATTAACCAGACCACTGAGTACTTCGGAATGTTTGCATCGGTGGCGTGTTCCAAAATCTACGGCCATGTATAGAGCGGTTAGTGGCCAGGTGAGTTAAACCAGTTTTGGTGCACTCCAGCTAGGACACTGCACATTAAAACGGAGACAGAAGTCAGCATAGCATAGCCGTAAGGTGTTATGGGATGGGAGTGGTCAAGTGATAAAGCGGCCGCTATCGTGCTGTGACAGTTAATGAAGCAGAATGTATCGGCCTACTCCACCAGCATCTAAATGGCACGGTCTGGCGAAATTCCTGGTTTATAGCCTACCACACATGCACCGTTTAAGTCACATTGATAACAATTTAATGTAGGCTTCGATTAAAAATAAATAGGCATTGGTTAGTCTTAAAGGTCGGTGTCTGTCATTTCTCCAGACATCATGATTTAGACTGTTATTACTCATATTACCTTCGAATTGCAGTGCATTGTCTAAGAGTATTATTAAACGTTGGTTTAATATGTTCACCTTTTATTCGTCGCAAGTCTTGGTGAAGTCGCATCACTTCGTCCAGAGACTCCGGAACGTCATAGGAGAAGACCAGTAGGAAGGCATTGCCGCCGCGCATTCTCAACTCTCGCATCGCTGGAAAGGGATGCAGTCCGGCCGTATCAATTAGTATTAACCGCACACAGGAGCAGTCTGTAAGAAATACAATACACCTAGGCGCCTTTTTGCTACCATGGTAAACGGCGAGGTTAAGCGCGTAGAGCATGAATATCGAATTAAATGACTGATCCATCTAAGGAACGGCCAAAATCATCCAGCAGATAGGTCGAATGTACGAAGATTCTTCTCCAAATTCTCGTCAACCAACCAAGCTCATGTAAGTAGTGTAAAGCCGCAAAGAAAAGGGTCCCTACGAATAGAACTCAACGATTACGCCATCATATTGGGCCAACTGACTGTAACAACAACACCAAGTCTATGTTGCTTAATGACCCAATATAAGTTCTGTGTACTATCAATCACGTCCAAAATTTGATTAAGGCATCCGTGAATTGCTGTAGTATCTAATAGATATTGTCTGAATCGACGATATAAAAAAGGCCACAAATATCAAGTTATTATTTAAATTTCAATTTTTGGTTGTTTATACTAGCGCAGACACCACCAAAAGCGTAAAACATGCATTGCCGACCATCCACAACCCCGAATACAAAACAGGTTAAAGTTATGTTCTTACGTCAACACCCAAACGACGTAGTTGTGCACTTCATGTCAAAAATTGCCTGCGTATGCAAATCTGTGCTTCATCAAGTTATCTTCCCTTCTCGCACACATTATGCACACCCAACATCTGCATGAAGAGCACACCTGTGCCACATTTCGTTCCACCTGTCTGGTTAATTTGTAGACCTGAGAATGAAACGATGTTTACGCGGATTGCTTTGCGTCAGTGCTTCCTCACCGGTTGTGGGGAATGTCGCGGCACAAATCCACTTCTCTGCCTCTTCAAACATGCCCTCGTCATTGATGCGTTTGCAGTTTGGTCGTTCTTCAGGAGGAGTCGAGCAACACAAAGTGTGACATTGACATTCGAGTGCATTCAAACCCGCGCCCTCCTCTCACTCCCCCGGAGGAACTTCCTCCACCTGGCACCAACGTGGCCTCGAAAATGAGGAAGAATCGGGAAAGGGGGAGGGGGCATTTTGTGTGTGTTTGGGTGTGTGCGTCCGATTGCGCTGACTTCCCATGGCCATCAGATCGTTCAACCCAAGTGTAGTCCGTGACATGGATATGAGTCTAGTTTGGGAGTGAATTAATTTGGGAGATGGCCAGCCAATTAAAATTGGTCGTGGATCTGGGTTTGCAAATTTGTGATTTCATTCCACGGCAGTACTGAGTGCTCAGATTGTGTTGAAATCAGCTTGTGTTCAAGTGAACAAGTTTTAAACAACCATTGTTTACATTTATAAGCGTGTCTTGTTTTTTAATAAATTCTGAGCTTGCATCAACTACTTTTAAATACAATATTGACTATGCTAAGAGTTTTATGCGCGAACAATATTCGACAGATTTTACAAAGTGCATTTTAATCATGTTAGGTTCTCAAATTACCACTGCATGATTACCTGAACAGATCGTTAGCTAGGCCAGCACGTATTTTGTCTAATGTCAATATAAGCGTCTTTACAAATAAAATGACCTTTATCTTTCCAAAAGTGCAACGAGTAGCTGTGAGGACACCAACTGTTTTCACCATCTGCCAAAATATCATTCTAATACAGTCCTTTTTGCAAATAACAAAATTTAAAAAAAAAATTGATGTATAGCGTTTATTTAAACAATGGGCGAAAGCAAAAAATGTTTAGAAAACGATTTCAAGAGTATAGAGCTTGCTACCACTACTACTACTACTATTTCATTGCACCATTAATGTGATACGTTTTAAGCCAGTTCAGTAAAACTCCTGGACACCAGAAAAAAACTTTGACAGATATTGCATGTTAGCAGACGCCTTTAAACAGGACTATCTGGCTGCATCATGCCACTGCGTCACTGGCCCAGTCTTTATGACTTGCTTTTGCGCAGCATCCAAAACGGGCATGCAAAGCACTGCTTGGCACGGTTGCATTGGGGAGGTCACTCTGGGCAATTCATTGTTTTACGGTGAATGCGATTTCAGTGTAACCTGTCTGCTTCGATTAGCAACAAACCAGGTGCAAATTTTACCTTTTTGCGTTATTGTGTGCTTGGAAGTGCAACCAAATCTATTTGCATAAATTGTTAATTGAAATTGCAAAAGATTGCTCGTGTTGGGTACTTAAAAATTACTTTCAAGGAAGTTGTGACTTAGTGCGTTCTCTGGATAGTATCATCTCACAATAGTTTTGCAGATTCACAGTGAGCAAACAACGGTTTTCTTGGAGAACGGAAGTGTATTGGTTTATGTAAATATCCGTTTTACTTAGAAACTGAAATCTCTATACGTTCATTAACCAGTCACAAAACCAAATTTTCGAAAATGGTTAGAAAATATTTTTTTTGCTCGAATACAATTTAGAACTTAGGAATAGCGAAAGTTGCGCAAAGGTACTTCACTGTTGACATAAATTAAGAAAAAACCGCAGTCCCCCTTTTGCCTCTCATAAAAGACGTTTTGAACGGAACAATCCAGATTGCCCGTTTTTGCGTTGAACCGCGCAGGTGAAAAAGTTTACGTGGAAGGATACTCTCCTACGCGGAGGATTGCGTGTCCCGCAACTACCGCAAGCAATTTAATTGGGTTTCACCAACGCGGAACACTACCTGCTGTTTTTTTTGCAGTGCCTCATTCCTTAAGCCTTTGCCCTACGAGTTGCGTTTCACCAAGACTCAGGACTGAATTTCCTTACTTGATTTAGACTGTTTGTGAGGATTTGAAATGTTGACTGTGGGATTGGAAACACATTGACAATGGCGAGAAATGACCATCTTACAGCCCACCCCACAGAAATAAGATTGTTTCACGTACTAGCAGCCCAAATATGCCACAGAATGCAGACCTCCAAGTCCCACAATGAACAGATAGCGCTTATTTCACTTACACCAAAGCATTTCCTTTGAAATCGGCTCAGGTGTAGGAAAGTGGAATGAAATCTAATCCGAGTATTTTACACTTGCTAATGTACAAATCAGGATTAATTTGATACCAATTAAAAAGCCTTATTTCTCAATGCCGTCAATATCCTGATGCCTTTGCAAACACTAATGAAGGCTTTGGGCCACTGGCAATTACCAAGGGCGATAAAGCGATGTGAAATGCTTTAAAATCACCGCAGTAAGTTGAACACATTCGCAGGCAGTATATCCATACACAATTCTTACAACTTCTGGCGGTACGAAAACTTGAGAAGAAGAAGTCTAACAAAATGCTGGGTTTGAATTGTATATTTCAATGCTTTTGATGACAATAACAGTCACTCATTGATAAAACAAACGTCAATGTCCAAAAGGGAGATATTTTGCGTCAGCATCCTTTGTGAGGCTTTAAAAAGGGTTAGGAAAGGTACTTAAAGTGATGACCTAGTGCAAAACGATTTAATGTCAAAAGTGTAGCTCTCACGAGGCATTTATGGCAGTTATTAAAGGGGTTCTTGAAGGTATTAATTCCGCCTTGAGAGCGCAGCGAAACCGAACTGGTATGTGTAAGACCAAAACGCAAGCACTATTTACAATTAAAGACCGACTTTGTTATGTGTTAAGGCGTTGACACGGGCATGCACATACTCGGCCGACAACATTCAATAAAATCATGAAGCAGTCGTTAGACGGGACCCACCCAGCCACCCATTCATACTTAACAAAATAGGTAGGTCCACTAAACAGTCGATCTAAAAGGACCAAAACAAATAAATATATATTTGCTTAAAATATTCAAAAAGCACATTTAAGAGTCCTTTAAGATCGCCGACGAAAATCAATACCTGGCATCATCCATTACGCTGATTGGTCGATATCTCACGCAGCTTTAAATGCAACAATGAGGAAAGTGCCACAGATATGCTAAAAGGTATGAAGGTAGTAAAAATTGTTTACTTGGCTTGATGTGGCGTGAGGCACTGCCCATTCGAACAGTCGCCAGGCCGATATGGGACATCATAACACCGTTGCCGCATGATGAAAACAGCAAGCAGCGCAGCCTGACTCTGACTATAAAGTTAAACATATGCGGATTCACAAATGCCGCCTCTCCACCATCAAGTCTTCAATTCGGCCGAAAATTCACCATAAATTTGCACGCATGCATTGAGCGGAATTTGTACTTCTGAGGTTTTTAGTGGAAAAGTGTAGAGCTAAATATGCATCACCCACTGAACCGCCTGTGTTGGCCAGGAATCTCGATATTTCACACCGCAGGAGTTTCGGAGCTAACGCGATAGGCCAAGAATCAGACAGGGTGAGGCCAAAATAAACCCGCAGGAAGTATGATGTTCGGGCTACGGACAAACCCAATCACACGGTTTAATAGGGTTTAGACATCGAATCGTCGCAGTTGGATAGCGATTCCTAGGCATGGCCCAATCTCAGCTCACCGTCTGATGCGTTGGCAATGGTCTACACTTGCTGGCTTTAGTTTGACACAAAATGTTGGTGTCACACACTAATAACGTAGTCACCTTTCAAAATGCAAACCCAATAACTCCAATACCGTTCTAGCCTTAATTAAAGGAACATTTACTGAGTTTTGATCGTATTTCTAGCAAAACGTAAATCCGTTGATTGGAAGGAAGAAGCCTTAATTACAAATTCTCCTCGCATTCCCATATTCGGCCAATTTAAGTGTCAGGTAAAGGAGTCGATAACGACGATGACGACTTCACATCCACAACAAGTGAACGCACAAGCTGCACGACCTACAGATAAACTGAACCAGTTGCCTGACAACCAACAACTAGAACTGCTCAAACGCCCGAATCGCAACACTGGACTGAGCAAATTATCAGCTAATCAGTATTTACAGAAAATTATCCGGGCGGCACATTGTTTAGTCAAGCTCCCAAGCAAATAAAATCTGCTCTCCTTTTTTAATGACAATTCTGATGACTACCAGCCATCTGTCAGGAAACAAAATTGCTTATTTTATAGTTCCTAATTTCCCTCTGGGCAAAATAATGCTAGCAGACGAGATAAATCTGACTTCTGTGCGGAGTTGAGGTGAGCGAAAAAAATGACGAGCATTAAATCAGGTGACTTGACCACCTCGACTGAGCACCGCCTCAACCATAGATGTCAGCGACCATCGCCAGCATTCGTGTTATATAACTGCCCTGCCCACAGATTGATTTCCTTAGTTGAACGTACAGGAAGGAGTGATAAAGGAGGAAGTTGTTGTAGTACAATGAACCCAGAAATCTTGAAGCATACTTATTGCGATACTTGAATTATGTAATCATCTTTAGACATGAACATACCGTAGAGAACTACTTGTAGTGGACTGTCAGCTGCCGTGCCTGAGTGAAGTCTGTTTACTGACCTAATGCTGTCAATGGCCCATCCTAATTTCGTTGGTTACTGTTACTAGTCGTTTGTGACGCTAATAAACGGCCTTACGCGTTGTCGCCGTATTGCCTCTCCTTTCGGGCGTTTTAGGGATTGTTAGGTAGAGAGTTGTAGTGTAGTGCTAAGCAAACCATTACAAATTTGCATAATCCAATAAGACAACCTTTTCTGAACTGAAACATATTATTGTATTGAGGCAGCAGTCTCGTGAACCAAGGAATCTAATATCATCGGACTCGGGAAAAAATTACATTAGAACACCTAACACGTCTTTTACCAAATACACCCCAAGACACCCTCTTTCCCTCGAAATTTCCGGAGAAAGGCAGAAAATTAGCCCAAATAACAGCCTAATGGAGACTACTTTTAAAAGAAGAGAGACCATGGTTTAATCAATCGTATTCTTGAAACACAAACACATACATTGTAGGCGTACATAGAAAAAACACATTGAAAACTACATCGAAGTTGTTAAGGGACAAAAAGGCACCTTAGTCGTTTTTCGAGACATTCATGAAGAGGTAGGACATCGACTCGCCGTTGTGGATTCGACGAATAGCCTCAGACAGCAGAAGCGAGATGTCGACGGTGCGGATTTTGTGACACTGCATCTTCTGGAGCTCGTGAGGCACTGTGTTGGTGACGACAACTTCGTCCAGCAGACTGTTCTCGATTTTCTGAGCTGCGTCGCCGGTGAGGAGACCGTGGGTTGCAATGAGATACACCTAAACGCGAGCGAACAGGCTGTGAACAAAAAATTAGCTCGACCGAGGGGAAACAGTATTCGCTGTTTAGGCAAGCCTCGGGCTTAGCTGGCTAAGAGCCATCGACCACAAAAAGTTATGCTCGTGAATGTGAGATGGGGACAGAGACCAGAATGGAATCCCGCATACCTTAAATCACCTGGGCTTTGGAAGGCAGGTTGTCCTTGCCAAGTGGAGTTTCCTGCATCCCCAAAGTGGACATGAATTTGTTTATTTGCGCAAATTCACCAAGCCGTCGCTATGAGCACTGAGAGGGTCATTAAAGTCAATGAGCGCAATACGTCCCCACAGATTGCACTTCTAACTCGGCCTTTGCAGCCTAGGCAATACCGCTGGTGAAAATCTGTCCATTCCACGCAACAACAACTTCACCGTACCAACTTTGTCGTTGAGCACAACCACAAAGGCGCGACACGCTCCGCTAGTAGGTGGCTTGTACTAATGCAAAAGAATACGATTTGAGGCCAGAGCCACACGAAATGAGACGTTAAAAGGGAAGTAACAAAGTTGCAGAGGAGCTGAAGGGGTATTTTTTACTTCTTCTCCATCCGAAACAGCAGTTTGTGATTGGTACAAAAGCTTCACAGAGGGCGATGACAACACTGACGAGAGCCTGTCGGAGGGAAATGCAAGCACAGACTTCTCACTTGTTTGCGAGACATGACGACGTGGCGCTGTCGAGTTACAACTGATGGGTGAACAATTTGGGTCTCGGCCACATGGACCCCAGAGGTGTTGCATCTGTACAAGCAACACTACCGAGGTGACACCTCCCTAACCTCTTCACCTAACACAGGAAGAGGCACTGCCTGGTCTGTGGCTGGCTGCACAACTTTGATCAAACGGTAAAAATCAGAAGGGGTAAATTGGTCCTAACAATGGTTGTCAAAGTGGTTGTTTGACTAGACGTAGGAAACGAAACGGTTTCGTGGAATCGTACAAAATAATCCCGTTGACTTTTCATGAGGCGACGAAAACAGTTCAAGTGGTCAGCAGTGAAACTGTTCTCAAAGAATCAGACGGGGATCCGTAATCACGTTCCAACTAAACATCGCCATCACTGCTAAATACGATTCCGTTGATATGCACTTAGAAGTCGTTATGTGCATGTCAACACCCACCGACTTATTTCTTCCTCGTACAATAAAGGAAAGCACTTAATCAAAATCACACTAGAGTCGTTGAACGAAGCAAATCTCTTTACTGAGAAAATGCAAGTATAGTTTAAAATTTTATGCATTTTTTAATTGTGCTCTTGCATATTTAAAAAAATACTTCTCTGTCATCATAACGGTGAGACAACCCGAACTGCGTTGGTGCGTGGATGGGTTAAAGTTTAGGGTCCGGGACAGTCACACCAAAGACGTCTTTGGTAGAAAAGAAAATCCCAGCGTCGGTTCCGAAAAAAAGTAAGCTCTACAGAGTTGGAATTCATCATTCATATTGCAAAAATAGCCATTTGCAAATGCATGATAGTTATCGAACCTTCTTGAAGACAAGAATTAACAAAGCTCGATTATAAACCAAAGATAACAGAAGCACACAAGTCGATATTCTTCAACTGTAATCCCAATAGCCTAGACAAAGACACCAGAGTAGAAATAGGACATGGTGCAAAACAGCCATTTAGGAGATGAACAAAGCGGGGCGCTAATGTTTCAGCATTCATGACACGGCTAGGTGCACTGGTGATCGGAGTGTGGCGGCGTCGTGTCACTTAAGCACACGTGCCTCGATTCACACTCTAATGCATTCCCCAAGCGGTCACATGACAGCGCAATAAAACACAACAAAAGGATGCAACTCAGCTCTGCACAGGAATTGTACCGAGTCGGGTCTAGGAGATTGGCAAAACAAGTCGATCATCTAGTCAACTCTGCCGGCTTACATTAGCACTTGAATGCTGCCTCAAAGGCACAATGCCAAGCCGCAGTCACCAGCTAGACTGGTGATGTCGTGTCTGGCGAAGATAAACAGACGGAATCGACACAGGCACACCACACCGTCAACCCATAAAGAGAGGGTTTAAGGGAATTGAAAAAGACCGAGTGCAAGTCATTATATGCGAAAAAAACATTCCGAAGTTGTTGTTTGAGAAAGAACTCGGCAAAGTGGAAAACAAACGAGTTAAAAATAGCAGTATGGAAGAAATCGTACATACCGAAAAGCCCACTTAATTAGTCACACACCAATTAGAAGTGGATAAAGATTAAAACCAAGGACTAAGCTGTTTCCGTTTAGACGAGAAATGAAGAAATGAATAACCAAGACGTGGACTGCCGAATGGTATTTGCGTGGGTTCTGACGTATTGCACAATTTCCAGACGAAGAATAGTGCGTGCTCCTGCGGTCAAAAGCGTTGCTAATACGGCGCTGCTTGTCTCAAACCAACGGGTTTGTAGAGAGGGACTCCCGCCAGCATAAGTGGAGACATCAGGTGAAAGAGGTTAAACCGGTTTCGTAAGTATTGGCGAAAGAGGAGCCATTTTGAATCGAGTAGTTGGAATTAGTTCAAATCTCAGGTTGGGCCATATTTCTCAAACAAACAAACGTTGTATTAAGGTAATAAGTGATAGCCAACGATTACACTAACACACCAGACATAAAAGCGACTCTCGGGAAACTCTCTGGATGTTACGTTAACAAACCGACAGCGCACAGGGCGCACAGCTAGGATAATCGTTGCTCTTGATGTGACCATTGTCGGAATTGCCTCGGGGACAAGAAACTAATCGTGTAATAACGTCAGGAAAGAACTTTAAAACCGAAAGCAAAGTGAAACCTAAAAGCGAGATCAAATAACGGACGAGGCCTCAGCTTTAACAAGTGACAATAAAACTAATAAACCGTGAGAGGATCTTTCTGGGGAACACCAGAAAGTATTCACGAAGGTGTGTCCGTTTGGGCATTCCAGAATTTTACTGGCTGCGACGCTCACTGAATAAGGTGAGCCATTAAGGGCTTACACTAGTCATCCACAAGTTTTGGAGCCTGCTAGAGGCGGATCAACATTTCGAGTGAAGAATCAGTTAAAAAATTAACTTGTCTTGACGCCGCTCGTAAACTGGGTTTCGTTCGCACGGGATTTGTTGTTGAAATCTGCAGAATTGTTAAGGCCATCTGGGAACTATGGTTTTGGAATAAATTCAGAAAAAGGAACAATACGACATTCCAGTATACAACAACTGGATTCAATTAGCACTGTGGAAAGTACGCCTGCATCATTTCCCCAAACAACACACTCGAGTATTTTGGAGCATTAAAAGTGGTGAGAAATGACACGTGTTTTAATTAACGAAACGGAAGCAAAAGTCAAAAGTAGAGACGATACTGGTGCAAACCAAAAATACCCATGCTTTGGTAATACAAAGATTACTTCCCAGTAGTTCAGGCCTATTGCCCACAGGTTCAAATGCTTCCTTGCTTTTAATTTGCTACAAATACACCATTGAATGTGATTTTTACAATGCAATGGAACTTAAAAACACAGTAGGTTAGGCGGTGAGCAATTAACTGGACGGGCTGTGTTTACGCACCAAGAGTTTCTCCAAAATTAGGAAATCGCATTCTACCTGACATCCTTTGAAAAATTTTACGGCGCCTGCGGAGCACTTAAGCAAACATCGGGACCACGTTGAGGATGATTGTCACGCGGTTTATTTACTGATCGTCAACTTTTTGGTAAAATGATTAGGGTGGTTTGCCGTTTCATGAATTTTAAAATAAAAACTGTACCTCCTTTTTTAATGTCACCATTTTAAATAGTTTTAGTAGATCTGCCTTTAAAACAAATTGGCGTGGCTTTTTACTGATCTCGTGGATGTTTAAAACCAAAATAACTACTCCGGGGCGCAAGCGAATGACCATAAGCAAAGATCCATATCAGAAAACTGCCAGATTGCTGATTAGCTTATCTGGGCAAGAAACAAAGCCACGTTCTTTTTCTTCAGTCTTACGACAACCTCCTGCCAATTACGAGCCACGCTTGTGACAGTCAGTCGACGCAGCACTACAGAATGCTGCAACGCTCCTACGACCAACTGTGACAACCTAGGGTATAACGACAATTAAGGACAACACCACGCGAACAACTTGTTTCTAGGTGGACGAGCAGAGGTCCTCGGATAAAACCTGGTCGAGCGTTGTCGTGAGCTCACCGTCTCTAGGGTAAACCAAGGTGCATGAAGAAGCTGAAATTTGCTAAAAATGCGGTGGTAGGACCCACTTCACGGTGATGAGTTAAGACTATACATTATGGGGCTACGCTTAACATAATTTTACAAGAAAAAGCATTGAATTAAAGCATACACTTGCTTTTGAAATGGCGTGAAGATAATTAACAGGAATTTAATTACAAATATGAATATCCCTTTAATAGAAGCAGCCAGAATAATTAATAGTGCATAAATAGCCCATAATTCACATGGCATTGAGGGTGAACCAAAGGCAAGGCATTTAAACCTGCAGCAGAAAACACTTTTTACAAGGTAACGACTAATTGAGTTAAGGGTAATAAAAATTAGGTTACAGTTGGGTCCAACATATCATTGTTGCTATGACAGCTATTACGTGAGCCCAAATTGAAGTGTAGTGCGGCAGGAGCAAAAAGGCAGCGCTAAATTTGTATTGGCAGCAGCGGAGAAAGATAAGCCAACAGATTCGCTAGTCAAAAGTAATCAACGTGACGCACGCGAAAGCCACTGAGCGTCAGGGCTGCACCAGAATCGAGGGCCTCAGTAAAACCGGTCCGAAGGAAACCGAACGCAATTGCCATTTCAAGGACTAGACACAAATTGCCTGTCTTTTTAGTGAACTACGCAGCAACAACAACAATGAGGTTCTTTTGATTCCACGAGCAAATGCCGGGGCCTATTTTAAATGGACGTCAATTAAATCGAATGTGATTCTAAGTACTTCGGTTAATTTCGATACAGCTGAGAGAGTTTTGAGCGGAAGGCAGTAAACGACTGGCTCGACTAGCCTCTGCCAGCTAACTTGTCCGAGTTTATGCCTAACATTTGTGTTTTAGCATAAAAATCAGCAGCCATTTGCACTAACTAGCGGCGGTGCTAAGTGAAGCCATGAAGGACTACCGCCGAATCGGATAAAAAACACCAGCAGATGCCTTAATGGCACAAGGATTAAGGAGGACTGCGAAAAGTGAAAATGTCTTAGTAAATGGATTACTGCACTGTGCTACAATCTTTCACAAGCTGACTGTTAAAAAGCGCAGCTTCTTTCACCGCCACTTTCAGCAAAACAAAGATCACTTATTTCTCGTGTACTTACAACTTGTAAATTAACTTGTAGCTGCGTGAATGATCAAAGGTGAAGAGTCAGAAAAAGGATGACGCTTCAGTTTGCGGCTCTGCTACCTTAAACAGGCTAGATTACAAGGCATGTTAGACGATATACATACGTTTTGTCGGGGACCTGACTGGGTTTGCACGTAAAAAAGCACAACTTCTGGAACTGTGGACCGGTTTTTTGTGGATTTTGGAAGAGACATGCAATCATTATGAATACACTAATATTTTTTTAATCGATTAAATGAAAGTGCTTTAGCTCTATCCCTTACATGAACGCAGAAGCTACGTCTTTTGAATAGAAACTGCACAAGTGAAATAAGGTTACAAGTAAGGTGGGACTCGGACAGGCATTTGAATGCATAGAATGACGCCCTAATTGCCTCACAACGCTGATTTGACAAGGCCTGGAACGCGAGGAGAGCTATGCAACTGAAAAAAGAGCAACATTAAAAGCCGGTTGGTGAAGGCGCGGATCGCGGAGGCAAAGCTTAGCCGACGACGCGGTCAATCGCGGTCAGACCATCCATCGAGTGAATCTGATTGCAATGATTTGATAGGAACAGTCGAAAACCACAAAAACCAACGTGTTTACACACACACACACACTTCTTTTGTTTACGAAAACACCAACCAAACCACTCGGACTGGTAGGGAGTTCAATTTGTAAGAGAGACGGGTTTTCCAACTTTTCTAAACTTAGAAATTCCTCCTCTCCACTCAGTGCCAAAATGGTGCTCTCGGAGACGCCAAAATAAGTAGTGGTCACAGTCCACAAAGGAACTCTTGCATTAATGAACCAAAGGATATTTCAAGGGCTTTTTTGAGAGCCAAGCCGTGGAACCAAGCAGGTGAAAAGTGCTGCCAAAGTTAACTAGGAGTGTCACGATAGCGAGGGCTAGCGACTCGAATTTGTCTGCATCAGTCCCAACTGTATTCGTTGACTTGATCAGGAAATGCAGCTGAGCAACATGAGAATAGGTCAAAATTCACATTAAACACCGGGGGCCGCTTTTAGAGTTAAACTTAAGGAGGATTTGCTCTGTTGGAACACAATACTCAACAGGGAAAGGGAGGCAGCCGTTTAATCGAGAGCTCGACCACATCGTCATCGATTTTTTCCGATTGCGTGTGTGTGTATTTAGAGCTCAAAAGTGTGAAACAGCGTGAGTCACAAATCTGCTAGCGTGTTATCAGGCCTGGTGATAAGCCCGGACGCGCGTTCGTGCCTATGACGTGTCCGTTGCGGTCCCGCCGGCCTGACGTCAAAAGGGGGGGGGGGTCGGAGAATGGAGCGACCAGATTAACGAGCGAGAATCAACGCGATTCACAACTCAATACTATGTTTCGGAGAGAGTGACTTGCTACATCTGCTTTGCAATAAACCAAAGGTACGTCATTGTTAACCTTCTGCCCCCAATCCAATGCCTCGTAAGTTAGACACACACGAACAAAAAGGGGAACAGCACAGATACTGAAAACAAATCAGTAGAATCACGAAACTCGGACATTACGAACTAACCAAGACGTAGTTGATGGGACGGAGACAGCCGGAATCAAGAAAATACCATTAGAATGAAACACAGAGAACCTGAGCCCTGGAACATGCACACATGGCTAAACAAAGCCATTAACCGAGGTGAATTTGCGGAGCATATTTCTTGTCCGATGACCAACGACACATCTATTAGATAGTTTGGAACATACTCTGAAAAACCCGGTTCAGGACGTACCAGTGAGGTGTAAAACGCCGGAGGCTTTGTGTGGTTCTCGAATCAAAGAAGGAAAAAGTCGCAGCTAGTGGAAAAGTGCCCTGAGCCACTTTACTTCAAGGCAGACTGTGAGGCCACTTCCAACGTAGGCAAACATGAACCAGGACAGTGCAAGAAACCTGTCGCAATCAACACATGCGATAAGCCAAGGCCTTGTCCAAAACGAATCACTGATGTCAAGCGTACAGGTGATCCCTGAAACCTTCAACCTAGCCACCTTTGAAAAGTCAAATCCAACCGCCATCAGCAAATGGCCTTCCGCGGTGGTCATGTAGGACTGTGATGGACGAATGCAAATTACGCTTGCAAAAGAGTTTAAACTAGGTCTAACAAAGTAGTGCCGGATAGAGGCTAAACAGGGATTTGGGCAATTGCACGAGTTCTATAATTCCTTCCAGAGCGTGGGTAGGGTAGGGTTAGCTGCACTAAGGTCTAACAGCAACAACAACGACAATGCTCGAAGGATAAGGGCAACTTGCCTTGTAGGCGCCTCGCGAATGAAGGAGCTCCGCGGCGGTGACGTAGTCATCCACTTCGTCGACTATGTCGTCCACAATTATGGCGATTTTGCCGTTCACGTTGCCAACTAGGCTAAGGGGCGGCTTCTCCTTTTCTTGCAGGGCAGGCAGGAAACCCCACGCGTTGTGCACAAACGGGGAGGTCAGGGGCTCCGGCTCTAGACCACTAGGCGAAATTAAACCCGAGTCGTAAGTAGTCAGACAACGGACACCTCGAGTAAGGAGTGCAAGAATTCAGTACGGTGTTTAAAAAACCCTGAGTCAATTACTACCTGTGCTTTATTGGTGACGTTTCAACAGACAAAAAAACACAACAGAAACAAACTGCAAACCCAACATGACCGGAATTCAAATGTCTGTGCCCCATTTTGGGGCAAGAAATCGTACCAATTGTGATTGAGAACAATTTGACCTGGAACTGGAATCAAATTGAAGCCACATTTTATTTGCCTTGGTTAAGTACGTTTGCGAAAAGTCTAATAAGACTTCATAAGAAATTTTAAGACAAAAATTGGCAGCCGTGCATTAAGAAAACACGCCTTCGACCTAGAATCGGTTTTGCGTTATAAGCAGAGATTAATAAGGTCAAATGTTCACATTCCTGATACACTGGATTATTCAATTCTAATCTAGCTTTTTTTGAGACCTGGATCAAAAGCTGATCAGGTTTGCAAAGTTTCATAAAGATCGATGGAGTTCTGTTGAAGCTGTGGCAACATCAAGAAGTCTGTCCACTTGCTGGGCTTTAAGTTATTCAGGTCTACGAATGGAGTTGTGTTAGTATGGACATTAAGACTATTTATTTGTGCATTTACAGCGACAAATAATCAAATAATCCAAATTACTGCATAATAGCATACCGGTGCGTGGATGTCAGCTGGCAACAACACACACTAATATCGCAAGTGTACTACAACGTGGGTTACGATTACCTAAGAAGTCTAACAAACTTTAAGCAATTACCTCGAATTGGACGATTCGGAGGTTCTTACACGATGAGACAGGGCGGGCTTATTCGATGAAAGTGCGTCGGTTTGACAATCCTCCGATTCTCTACGAAACATGAAACGATTTTCACGTAATAAGTTAAATGCAAATGTGCAGTCGAAAATTGTGACTGTGCGAAGTGGTTTGAATAAAGGGCTTGCGAATAAAGCTTGCATGCCAGTTGCAAAATACTACAAATTTTACAAATGAAAATCCAAGGCCTAGAGACGGAAAGTCAGACGTTGTTAAGATTTATTTGTACTTGCACACAAATCGTTTCGTTAATTCAAGGGCGAATAAGAGAAGACAAACGAAAACACAAAATTAGAGAGTTCTCTGATATATCACCGACATGTTTCAAGGTGTGAAACGGCGTTACTTGTATCACATCGTGATGGGGGTGTAGAAAATCTTCGCAGGTTTCCAATGATAACACTAGTCAGCAAATTTTAGATTTTGTCTCAATCATTTTTAAACGTTAGAGAATGCACATCTTTTATCGCGTGACTAACGCATGAATTAGTCACATTTTGAGACAGAGATATCCAAACTAGTCAATATTCTAAAGTATTCAAAATGCTCAAATTCACCAAACTGGTTTTAGGGCATTAAATGAAGACTGGACTTTCCTAAATTTTGCGTAAATAGAAAGCATGACATCTGAGTGTTTGCCGGACTTCACACTTCCGGAGAAGGAAATGCTGAAACCTACTTGTGAATCTCTAAATTTGACCTCCGCAAAATTTCTCCGTCTTGTGACAAGAAGCCATCCTTTACTTCATTCGAAACCCATTCCCTGGGAGAAGGGAAGCATCGATTTAAATTAAAGCACGTTTCCCACTTAAATACTTGAAGGCTAAGTAAACTTCCCCATTAGTGTTTTGGCGAAGAAGTATGGTAGATTATGAATGCTGTTAGTTGCTGTTACCTTACTAGCCAAAAGTGTATTTTCGTGGAAATGTTTAATAACTTTAAAGCACATAAAAGAACTGTCCACAAAATTCAAGCAAAATCATAAAGGCAGGTTCTTGAAAAAAAGCTTGCATGAAAACGATTATCGAAAGAAAGGTACGAACTTGATTTCTTTCTCCATAGGTGGAGGAGACGTACGACCATCAGCCTGTTCTGTGTCTTCGCGGTCAACCCCATGAATAACGGCCAAGGAAACGCGAAGACGTTCGGCATAACTTGTAGCCCTAGCAACACTTTTTGGATCTTTGGCAACTATTACGCAGTTGCGATGATCTGGAATAGTCTCCGTTAAGTAGCTTATAAGGAAAGGCGAAGCACGAAGATTATCCACAGGAACATCAAAGAAACCCTACAATTTAATTACGGCAGGTTTAAAGGCAAATATATCCCGACACTTGAAAACACGACACCCTTATTTTAAAACTCACTTGAATCTCCTTTGAGTGTAAATCTATTGTGATAACATGATCGATGCCAGTTGAGCAGATCAGCTGTGCGATGAGCTTGCATGTGATTGAGCCTCGCTTGCGCATTTTATTCTGCATGCAGTACGGAAGATAAGGCATAACAATGATAACCCGCCTAGCGCACGCAGCCCTGCACGCAAATGCCAATATCAGCATTTCCATTATTTCATCATTCACCTTTGTTGTTCCAGTCTGTATGAGATATACATCGTGACCTTCAAATAGTTGTAAAAGAAACCTGCAATTTGAACTACCTCTCACGGTTTCATTAATCTCGACTTTAATTTCCTTATTGGAATGCGTAGAAGTCACAGATTTGCAGGGACTAACATTTAAATAATTGCATATCCGCTTAACGAGATCTGGATGGGAGTTTCCTGTAAGCACCACCAGACCCTTCGACTCAAATGGGAATTTAGCCGACAAATGCGAATTACATACAACAAGCCGTTTCATGAGCATGTTCAGAGCTCAATGCAAGATCGCCTCCAATAGACATAAAGCAAAAGTCGCGCCACCGCGAGCTAAGGAATCATCAGCAATATAATTTTTGAAAAGCTTTTAGCCTTTACAAAATCAATTATTATTTACAACAAATCGCTTTTACTGGCTGCTAAAAAAATTTGTTGTGAAGTATTTAAAAATAATGGTTGGTACATGAATTGGTGTAGTAAACGTTTTGAATTAGTCCAAACTCGCATTCAAGTACTGATGTGATTGTGGACTAGCTTCTATTTATCAGTGCATTGAGTAATAAAAGTATTACCTAATGACATAATAAGAAATCTGGAGTAGAAAAAGCACCTTGCAGAGTAGTCGGATATTAATGTCATTGTATATTGCAATGCTACTTTAGTCAATGTATCATTTTGAAAACCCGTTTATTCTGTCTACTTCCAATAATACTAGCTTCTTGAGCACTTCTTTTGTTCATGTTATTTTATTTCTTTTTTAAAATTCTGTAAGTTCACATCAAAGCTTCATTAACTGAATCCACAGACTTATTGGTTTGCTTTAAGGGCAAGTAAATTGAAAATGCGATACAGAAATGAGAATCTATGCTGCCATGGACAACTTATTAGACTTTCAAAGTAAAAAAAAGTATTGAATTCTTCTAACAAATGGGATGCTGTCCACACTTGCATTAAATGTTTCACTTATTGAAGTAGCCAAATTTTAGCACTAAATTAGGCTCATCTTGTCCGTTACTCTAGCAACCACGCCAAGTTTCCGTCTCATCTTGCTAATAATTTCAAAGCTCTTCAAATCAATTTTATCTATCTCCAAGAATCCCCTTTTTATTTTACACAATGCTGTACTTAGATCAAATTGTGCGAATTTGTGTGTGTGTGTGTTTTTGTAAAAGCCTTTACCTCTAATTGATAAAATCGCCAACTTTCCCCCTCTTTTCGCCAATCACAAAACGCTGTTTCTGTAATCATGTAACTCTCTTGTAAGATTATTGCTTTCTGTCATCTTCTGGACCTTGTTAAATACAATGGTGCCGCTATTTCACGCATCTTTCCATAGAAATCCAATTTATAACCTCTTCTAACTGTATTTGATACCTCTAAAACCCTTTGCTTTGCCTTATCATGGTGCTTCTGGATAGAAAAACATGACTGCAACTGTTTTTATGTACATTTATGATATCTAATACTAAGACTAGATTTGAAACGATTTAACGTGTCTACGGTTTTGGACTCAGCATAATTTCTAAAGCAGACTTTTACTTCTAGGCGGTCTTATATCGTAATAGGTCCTCTGTAATATTTTTTTGGTTCTAAATCAAAAGTCCTACAATGTAAGTTAGCTCTTGTGATGACAGCACTTTGGTGTGCCTAATAAGGTGTCCACAAACATCGGTCTTCCCGTGAAAATATTGCAGGAATGTGACAGTGAACTTATAAATGCCTTTACGAACTATACATGCAGCATTTGATAATACGCATGCAAATAAAATCTGGTGGTGAGAAAGACCTAATCGGCAATGAGATGCGCATATATTTTGGCTTGCAGTTACGCTTTCTTGTAGATTTGTAGAGCTCTTAGTGCCAATGATGTGTCCTATGAAACTTGTAATTATTTGTACCTACGCTTCAGAATTGGCGATCTCGATTTAGTTACCAGCTGCACCCCGGAAAACAGCCTCAAAAGTTTGAAGGTGCGTAATTGCAAGATCTACTGAATGAAGACTCAACGCAAACGCAACAGGAACATGCAGCTCAGTTAGGAGTCACACAAACGACTATTTCCAAGTGTTTGTACCAAATTAGAAAATTTCAAAAACTTGGAAGTTGGATCGCCCCACATGTGTTGACCGAGCACAACCAAGGTCAACGTATGAAAACACGCTTTTCATTGCTTGCCCACCGACAGCAAGCAGTGAATGAACTTCTTATGGACAATTGTAACAAGTTCATGGACGCCAAAACAAAACATCAACTTGAAGACCGTTCTCCTATTCATCTGCTGGAACATGAAGAGTGTACTTTATTATGAACTCCTGAAAACTGGTCGTCAGACGGTGAATGTGGAACGCCAAAGCCGACAATTGAAAAAACTGAGCAAAGAGGCCAGGGATCAGGAAAGGCCAATTACTGCGCAAGGAAGAAGGCAATTCATACTGCTGCTGCATGGCCACCTCACGTTGCACGCGCGACTCAGGAGACCCTCTTGAACCTGGGATGGAAAGTTGTGCCACACGCGGCATATTCGCCAGAGTTGGATCCCCTTCCAATTGTCATTTGTTCTGGTCAATGCAGCAGCCCGCCTTAGTGAATAAGCAGTTACAAACGCTGGACGATGTGCGTGAATTCGTCATCGATTACTTAATTGTCCCGAAGCCTACGGGTTTCTTTCGGGACGGCATTCGGACGTTGCCTGAGGTCACAATATTTCCAAGATTAAGTTCGTTGTTCTTTACTTTTTTAATTAAGCAGATCTGTTGAAAATCAATAGAAATTAAGTCAAACACCTAATGTATGTTGCTTAAATAATTCGAAGAAGAATACAATTTAACACTTTTGCGGTAAAGACAAATTATTTTATTATCGGACTAGAAACCAAACCGCCAAGGTAGCCAATAAATGAGCCTCACAGTGATGGGGTTAGCAGTGCTGGATAATTGTCTAACCAATTCAATTCCCAGTATGCTTTGGTGCATTTACCAGGGAAGTGACTTCCTTCAGAAATTTTCTACCAAGCACTGCCTCCTGCACCAATCTCAACCTATACCACATTGAGGTATTCAAATTCATTTAAACTCAAACAATGAAGTCATAATTTCAGATTATTGTCATTTTTTAATGAAGACAAACGGCTATGCTTGGTGGAATTCGATGTTGTGGCAGATAATCGAATTTTACGTCTATTCAACAGCATAAGGTATCTTTCAAAGTAAATTCACTTGTACTTAAATATATTCACCTCAGCACACACACACAATTAGATGGCATATTTTATGCTAAAATTGCTTCATAATCTGATGTTTCAGTTTGAACGTGAATTGTGCCAGGTAAAGAGGGCGTAAAATTATGACACCAAACCAATCCCTACAAACGTAGTGCGTGTGTCTTGCAAAAAATTCGCATATACATTCACGAAATTTTCGATTGATATATGGACAGCTGGATAGAGATTGACATTTCCATTGCGTGCGAACGAAGTTTGGTGCTGAGAAATCCTAGAGCCATGAATATACGCCGATATAAAAGACAAGCAGACATACCATCTTCCTGTATGAAGGAGTTACCTCAGGCAATATTTACTAACTTACCTGGCATTCAAGTGTACGCAAATTTGGCTAAATCGTGAACATCTTTCGGAGTGGCAATAACACACCGTGCACGATGGTTTCAAATCAACGACTCATCTGGCCGGTTATAGACCGGACGCAGTGGTTGGGACCTAGTGGGAATGTGCATTTGTATAAATAACACCTGCATTAGCGAGAGTTTTACGAAAATATGTAAATATAGAATCTTACAATATGTAGAGCCCTTACCGCTATCGAGCTTTTTGAATGGTGTTCCAGAAATGCTAGTATAGTAAAACAATGGATTATGCGGAAATGGCATGACAAATGTTTTAACTTGTGTTAGTTAACCTCATTGTTGTCAATCCTTCACTTTGCTTAAGACAACAGTTCCTATTTTAAGAGTTACATAGTTTTAAAAAAGCCTTAAGAGTATAACACAACCGTCGCCTACACTAGCAGGTGTGTCAATAAATATTTTGCAACGTATTTTGCATAAATTGAGAACCTTATTTGTTTCTACTAACTCTAAAACTGCAACTTAAATAAACATCCAAAAATACACATTATTAGTCATTCACTTACTTCCCCAACAATGTCTGCACATAATAACCGACTGTATCGGGTGGCAATAAATTTTCGGTTTTTCTATAAAATTGTTATGTTGGAAAAATGCTATTTTACCTGTTTGCCGAATCTTGGGTTTTTTCCAGAGGCACATTTTTTTTAAATGCCCAGAGATCACTTGCTGGAGCACATTAAGTCAACCACAGAATTGTGAATTGGAGATTTCTGTCAAAAATTTAGCCTAGCCCTGAAGACAATACGGTGCACCATTTTTTCTCCCAAGTCCACCTCATTTCCCTGAATTCCCATGACTCAGTTTACAGTGTACGGGCTTGTGTCATCAAGCAGGAATATGACTATCACTTATTCATTTGGCATTTATCCTGGTAACCTTGAATTTTCACCGATTGCCCTACCATTGTTCGACGTGCACGACTTTGGTAAGCGCATCACTGCATCGCTGTGACCAACAATCGCTATTGCCTCCACAATCCCACCTCACACATCACATGATTTATCTCACACCAACAACCTACTTGTGAACGCTCTCAGTTGCTTAGTTCTCACGAGCCACTGTCTCCTGCGAACTGCATGTTCACATGCGATCTATCACCTCAACAGTGCTGCATTCATTCCAATGGCGGGAAATCAAGGTTCCTAATGCCGAAAACGCACTGGTTGCCTGTGATTCGCTGACTGCCTTTTTGGAGCCAAACATTCAGCTCGACTGCCTTATCTCATGGTTTGTCTCGGATTGTGCCCGTTAGAGACCTCCGAACACTACAGTCACGAGGGTCTGAGGGGTGTCTGACCTGCCCTCATCTTTGATGCTCAATTCACATTTGGAAAACTCAGGCGAATCTATAGAAAGTACACCGGAGCTGCTGTACATGCAATCAATTCATTTGCATGCGCAAGGGTTGCTGCTGCTACGTTTTCTGTAACTCACCTGCACCCACAACTTCAGAGTGACATGTCATGCAACTGGCAAATTTCAGAAAAAAATCGATAATGGGAGTGAACTGCCATCTTAACACTTCATTAGTCAATTCACAATTGGCAACTGCTTTCTAACACAAACACACCGATTTGGGCTACCTAGAAGTGTAGGCAGGCCATAATGGCGATGATTGTTCTT